TGCATCCTAGGGCCATATGGTTCAATGGCATTTTCATTTACTCCATTGAAATCCATCCTCGTTGCAGCACCATCAACCAATTCTGCTCCACAAGAGTCTTTTGTATGACCATATTTACCACAAGTAAAGCATATGGTCGGCAAGCCTCATATTCTACCCCCTGAAAGTGCCCATCGATCATGATTCCAGGAATCAGTGGTTTCCCCAAGTCAACGGCAATGTCTAATCTCGCAAAACGCCCCATCTTACCCTCGGTCGTATTATAGTCTTATCTTAACAATCTTTTCAAGTGCACCAGCAATCGCCCTAAGCAGGCTTTTAGTGTAATAACGATACGAAAGCTAGGGAAATCGGACCCACACAAGAATCCGTTGGGGTGGTCATCCAAAGTATAAAACGACATTGACCATGGTTGCACCGTCAAATAACTTCCATAAACCATCCAGGGACCTCCAGCCACAACATTAAGGTAGTCATTCTTTAAGGCGAAACGTACCAGAAAGTATTCGTTATCCAGATCGATGAGTTGCATCTTACCATTCGGCCTCCACAGTGTTTGAATCGGATGAGGAAACGCATTGTAACTTATCTTCTTCCCTAACAAACAAATTATTATCGATTTCGTCAGCTTCTAATCAATGGAGTTATGAACTCTCTCCGAGAACCATATGTCAGGGATAGGGCCCTCCATACCAATTTGAACATTACCTTCACATAACTCCACATCTAGATCGCTTATATAGTTTTCTGACCGAAGCACTCCTTATTGCCCAGCCAACATATTTCTAAAAGAGGGTTTAACCGTCCCCGCAGATACCTGGTTCAGATCCGGGTGGTTTGCATGGTCTGCCCCCACACCAGGCAACGCAACAACCGCTTTATTCATAATCACATCCCTACCATCCGGCACCAACCCCTTATTATCTGACTCCAATGAAATGCCAGGAATAATAATATTTCTCTGTTTTTCCCCGCCGGTAACTCCTTGGATGGGATCTAATGGCCTGAACATTCCAAGGAGGGTGGCTGGGTGATCTGGATTGTTAAATCCGGTGGCCGTCCAGGCGGGGTGGAGGCGGGTGCAACACTAGGTTTTCCTATAATCTTGGAGGAAAATTCCATGCTCTTTGTAACACGATTTTTTTAATGTTAAATTTAATATGGTATTTTCAATTGACGACTTTTTTATCATCTTATTAATTTATCTTTATTTTGGAACCCGATACTGATTATCCCATATCAATAAGTGTACATAACCTCCCCTGATTATATGCATTTAACTGACATTTTTATATTAAAACCCCATTAATTATTTTTTGAGAAATAACCCCAAATCAAATTAATTAGAAAAATACATTTAAATTATACACATATGATGATCTCGTATTCGGCAAAAAGTGAGATTAGATTTCACGTTTTATAAAAAGTGAGTTTCACACATTTATTATTGTCTTTACTCAAAATTAAATGATTTTATCTGAAAAGATTGATGGGTCTCACGCCCTAAAAAATGTGAGGTTTAACAAATGTATTTTATAGGACGTGAGATAGTCTTACATGGGTCGTTTGAGGGTATTTTTCTCATGCCCATTTAACTTGTAACAAAATAAAATTAACGATATATAATTATTATATATTTATTTTATATCATTAAACATCGATAATAATTTTTTATATTTATTATTTTAATTTTTATACACGATCTTTTATTATAATTATAATTTCATAATATTTTATCTTTATTTATTTAATAAAATTAATCCATTGTCATTAATTAAAAACCAAAAAGATATCATACTACAAAAAAAAACCTATGTTATTTGTCGGCGTTTTTATCAAAAAATCATCTGGACAGATTTTATTTACGTATCAGATATTCTTTCAGTAAATTTTATTGATCTATCACTCTTTGCAGAAAGGTGCGGATCATCATCTGCACCTTACGCTAACGTGGTGCCAACTTAGATAAAGCGCGGATGATAATCTGCACCTTTCTGGGATGGGTGCTAGATTTTTAAAATTTTTTGAAATAGTGCCTAATAGCTAATTAATTTATATCAGGGTGATTTTTTTTGTAAAAATGCCATAAAATATTAAGGAAGTATTTTTTTTTTGAAAAAATATAAAATTTAATAAGCTAATCATATTTCTTTTCCTATCTTCTGAAAAATTAAGTCATATGACCACAAAGAAAATCATGTGACTTTCACACTTATCATTATCTTCAAATGACTTTCACACTTATCATTATCTTCAAATAATTTTTTCTTTTTTAATAAATTTTTTTCATTAAATACTAGAAATAAAATAATAAAATACCTTTTTTCTTCAATAATAATAATAATAATAATGAAAAATAGTATCAATAAATTTTGTCTCGTCTTTTAATTTTGTCATTATTTAACTAATAAACTAGTGATGTTTACCCTAGAGAAGACCGACGTTGACCTTGATAATTGAGTTTTCAAAAAATTATTTATTATTATTATATTTTTAATTCGTTTTATTTTGATAATTAAGTCATTAATTTGTATTCTTTTATTGACATCACACATTAATAAAAATTTAATGAGTTAATGCTAGTGAACCTTTAAATGTGAGTTATCCTTTTAAGTAACGTATCCCCTTAAACCAGCAGTGGTTTATAAGAATTCACTAATTATCCATTCAATCAGAGTATTAGAAACATATTAAAATATAAGAATTTTATACTCGATATATATATATATATATATATATATATATATATATTATCTCAACGTATCTAAGAATAACTTTGAAGCTAAATTAAATTTAAAAACATATTCAACACAAAAGGTTGATTAAATAATGATAAAATCAAGAGACGAGACAAACCCTAAACCTTAATATTTTGTGACTTTTTTATACAAAATCACCATAACATAAATTAATTATCTATCAAGCAATATTTTAAAAAAATTTATGGATCTAGCACCCATCTCAAAAAGGCGTAGATCATCATCCGCGTTTTATTTGAGTTGGCGTCACGTTAGCATAAAACGAGAATGATGAGTCGCGTCTTTCTACAAAGAGTGTTAGATCGATAAAATTTTTTAAAAAATGTTTGACACGTAAATAAAATCTATTAGGATGATTTTTCGGTAAAATCATCCTATTTGACTAGGGTTTAGCTCCAAATTTTCTTTGAATAAGACTTGTGTTTTTGTAATAAAAGTTGAAGAGTCTGGTCAAGCAATTAAAGCGATTAAACGACCTAAGTTATTGGATCATTAAATAGTGACGGCATGAAGTTGATTTCCGTACGAAAGTCAGACGGAAAGAGTACCCGATATAAAAGCTGAAAACAAATGTGTAACTTTTTTCAACAAGAAAATAAATGAGTTGAAAAGTCAAATACACGTTCCTGCATTTGCAACCTAAACCCAGACTTTTTTATATTATATTTTTAAAATAAAAGTTATGATATTTAATTTATGTATGACTGATAAGTTGTAAGCTGTTCCCTCTTTTAAATTTAGCCGGATCTTATCTTTTGTTTCTGTCTATATGCAGAGATTCTTTCGTAGGGATTATTATGCAGGGATTAATTCCCGTTACAGACACACATATGATTTTAATGACTGCATATGAATACTGTTTAGCTATGTATTTATGTATTTATTTATACATGCATTGCATTTTATCTAAAAATTTTAATTTTCTGACTGCCGGAGGTCTTCCACGAAAGTTACTCTCAACCTGATGTTGGGAGTAGCCTACTACCCTACCTCCCCCTTACCCCATACATATGGGAATTGGGTTTTGTTGTTGTTGTTGATAAGTTGTAAGCTGAATCTTCCATATTTTATTTAATTATTCGAAATTATTTTATACATTTTTAGTAGAGTTCGAAGAACTCCCAAGTAATGTTAAATTGCTTATATGTGACATATATGGTATAAAAAAAATCAAAAACATTAAACCTATATTAAATATATGATCATATTTCAATGCTATTTTTATAAATTAAATTTTTTATTATTAATATATCATATATTAATAATTTATTATTCCAATTTTAAAAAGACTGATATTTTATTTTCTATTTAACAAATAATTATTGTTATTTATTTCAAAGTTTTCAGTTTAAGCTTCCGTGTGAATGTCAAACAAAACAACTTGTCTACATCAATCCACCTGGAATTTCATCATTTTAACCAGATTTTTATTGGATGTAAGCATATAGTATTATACACATAATCATTAAATCATATAATATATTATCATAAAATATATAACTTAAGGATAGAGGACACAAATCATCCCGCTATCGTTTTATTAAGTTCTTCTACTATTAAAAGTTATAAAATGATCGTTCGATTATAGAATGTTTATTTGTTAAGTCCTTTGACTGTTAAAAGTTTCATAATGATCACCGGATTATTAATTATGTTCGAAACTCGTCATTTTCTATTAAAAAATTAATAGTATTCTGAGCTGAACTTTTATCTACTAACTATGATATGATAAAATATGACCCTAGAGTCTTAAACTACTATCATATCTCAGTCATTATGTTAACGTCCAACTTAGACGATTGTTGATTTTTTAACGAAAAAGATGAGTTTAGAACATAATAAATAGTCGGGTGACTATTTTATAATTTTTAACAGTCGAAAGACTTAATAAAATAACACTTTTATAATCGAAAGATCATTTTATAATTTTTAATATTCAAGAAATTTAATAAAATACTATCTTTTAATCAAAAGAGTTACCCTATTTGAATACTTTAAACCCTAAAATTAAATTAATTTAATACTATTTTTTACTATATCATATTTTATTAATTCTTTGATGTATCAACACATCATATGTAAGCACCCACGGTACTACCTTTGTACTATCTGCTGAACAATACGTTTGACTATGAACTTTCAAAGCTCTTTATCATGCAGCTGAACCCTGCAAATTTTGCCATTGTTTTTTATTCTTCTTTTATCTTCGAAAATCCTATGAAAACCAGGCTTTGATCTGTTTTTCCTCTCTTTTTTTTTTGGGCTTTTGCAGCAATGAAGGAACACCGCCACGCAAACCCTGTTTTCTCTCTCCTCTTGATCATAACCGTGTTTTCTCAGTCTGTTTTGGCTGTCGATTTTGTCTTCAATGGCTTCAATTCAACTAATCTTTTACTCTACGGTATTGCTCAAATCGATTCCAGAGTTCTTACACTCACGAACGAAACATCTTTAGCTGTCGGTCGAGCTCTTTACAGATCGAAAATTCCAACCAAGACCCAGAATTCTTCTCATGTTCTTCCTTTCTCCACTTCCTTCATCTTCTCCATCGCACCCTCGAGGAACAAAGATACACTTCCGGGACACGGCATCGTTTTCCTCTTCACACCCAGTACCGGCATTAATGGAACCACCTCATCTCAACATCTGGGTCTTTTCAATCTTACAAACAACGGCGACCCGAGCAACCGTGTCTTTGGTGTCGAATTCGATGTCTTTGCAAACCAAGAGTTTGACGACATCGACGATAACCATGTCGGGATCGACATTAACTCCCTCCAGTCGACAAGCTCCCACACGGCTGGTTATTGGCCAGACAATGAAAACAGTGATTTTGAGGAACTGAAGCTTAATGATGGTAAGAATTATCAAGTTTGGATTGATTATGCAGATTCTGTTATTAATGTTACCATGGCACTTGTTGGGGTTAAAAGGCCTAAGCGGCCATTGTTGAATGTTTCTTTGGATTTGTCTGATGTTTTTGAGGATGAGATGTATGTTGGATTCACTTCATCAACTGGGAGATTGGTCGAGAGTCATAGGATTTTGTCATGGAGTTTTAGTAATTCGAATTTCGCATTGAGTGAACGATTGATCACCACCGGTTTACCGTCGTTTACTATCCCGAAAACTCCGATTCATAAGCGTAGTTCGTTTATCGCAGGCGTAACGGTCGCGAGTTTGATCGTCGTCATTTCGATCTCTATGTTTTCTATGTTTTTGATTAGGAGGGAAAGGAGGAAAGCAAAGGAAAGAGCTGGAATGGAAGATTGGGAATTCGAGTATTGGCCTCATAAGATGAGTTATCAAGAAATCGATGCAGCGACCAACGGATTTTCGGACGAAAACGTGATCGGATTCGGAGGGAATGGAAAAGTTTACAAGGGTGTTTTACAAGGAGGAACCGAGATTGCGGTGAAACGCATTTCGCAGGTAAACAACGGGATGAGGGAGTTCTTGGCCGAGATTTCGAGTCTCGGCCGGTTAAAACACCGGAGCCTAGTTAGTTTGAAAGGTTGGTGCAAGAAAGAAAAAGGGACATTCATGTTGATTTATTACATGGAGAATGGAAGTTTGGATAAGAGGGTTTATTATGACTCTGATGAAACCAAGATGTTGGGTTGTGAGGAAAGAATTAGAATCTTGAGAGATGTTGCATCGGCTTTATTGTATTTACACGAGGGATGGGAATCCAAGGTCCTGCATAGGGATATCAAGGCCAGCAACGTGTTGCTTGATAAGGATATGAATGCAAGGTTAGGGGATTTCGGGTTGGCTCGGATGCACGGACACGGTCAAGTGGCCACCACAACTCGTGTGGTTGGTACCGTGGGTTACTTGGCTCCCGAGGTGGTTAGGACCGGACGTTCATCGACACAAACCGATGTGTTTGGTTTTGGGGTCTTAATTCTCGAGGTCATGTGTGGGAGAAGGCCTATAGAGGATGGGAAGCCCCCTTTGGTAGATTGGGTATGGCAGTTGATGATGCAAGGGGAACTACGCGTCGCAGTCGATGCACGTCTAAATGTAAACGAAGGATTGAACGAGGTGGTAACGAAAGTTCTGCATTTAGGGTTGTTGTGCTCGTACCCGAATCCGGATTCCAGGCCAACGATGAGGCAAGTAGTTATTGCCTTGGAAGGGAACAATGAGCCTTTCGAAATGGAAACAGAAGATATGGAAACATATTTGCTGTCACAGGTGAATTCCAGGGATATGTGGACTAATTACTCTCAAAGCTTCGGGTATACGGCGCACCCGACATACGACGATATCCGCCATTCATCTTCCATATCTCTGTCATGGAACACTGGGATAGTGGATGGTAGATGATCCCTGCATCATTTCTAAAGTGAGAGGCCTCTGTTGCTTGCACTGATTTGACATGTCACTGTACATATGTATGCTAAAGTTTAGTACTTTAAACCCACATTGTAATGTTTTTTCTGTTAGTACAATCTATCATGCCCAGAAAGCGAGATATGAATAAACAAATGCATCAGTCTTTTTAATACGAATTATCAACATATTAAAATACTTTAAACATGATTATAATTCACATAAAAAACAATATAAATAAACGAATTACGAGTCTAACGAAATATATTCCTACTGAGCTCCTTATGGTGGTGTGGGTATGGGTATGGGTATGGTGCTGCATCCATTCTTTTTTCCCTCTTGCTACCTCAAATGGAATTAGGGATGGGCATGAGATCCAAATCCGATGGTTCCGATTGAATCAGGTTTTTTTTTAAAAAAATTGGGTTCGGGTCAAATTTTGTAAAGGTGATATTCGGGTTGGGTCGGATTCGAGTTTAGGATGAAAAATATCAGACCCAACCCGACCCGGAATAAAAATAATTTTACATTATATATTTAGGAATAATTACAATAATACCTCTATATATATTATTTTTTTTTCAATTAAATCACTATTTTTATTGAATAAAAATAATATTTTTATTATTTTTCGGGTCAGATCGGATCGATTTCGAATTTTATCTCAAAAAATTAGATCGAATTCGGATCGGAGGTAGGGTATATCTTTTTTCGGATAGGGTGGTATCGGGTGAAGGTTGTAAATTGAGTTAGCCAATAATGCAGGGTAGCCGGGCGTTTTCTTTCTTACCTACCCAATACTGAGTTGTTTGATTACTTACAACGCTTATGTTTGGCCATTTCTGCTCATTTTATTTAGGGTAAATTATACCAGAGACTACCCAACTATAATCTCTTTTCATTTTGGCTACCATTTTTGAATTTTTATCAATCAGATCATCCAACTATTTGAATGCATTCAATCAGGCAACTAGTCGTTAACAATTAACGGAAGTGCTGACGTGGCAGTTTATAAAATTGATATAATTTACATTTAGTCCTTATTACTTACACAATCTATTAAAGTGGTTATAATTTTAAATTAATTAAATATATTTAATCATTTATTTATATGATGACATGTATCACAATATTATTGGAGAGCTTTTATTAATTTAATTTATATTTAATTATATTTTTTCTCTAATTAGACGGTAACACGTGGCACCATCTGATGGAAAGAAAGCAAATTGAAACAAAATTGTATTGGGGTGGGGCATCAAACCTCTATCCCTTGGATGATAAAGAACCAGTGTTTTGAAAATCGGACCAGACCGGTCGGTTCAACCGAGAACCGCTGCCTGGTTCGGTTCATTCTACCCCGTTAAACCGCTATTAGTGAACAGTAAGGAACCACTGAACCGGTTGTGAACCGTTCGAATCGGACCGGACCTGACATTGAACCGGTTCAACCTAAATGTTTTTAGTTTTTTATTAAATATTTTTGGTATTTTATTTAATTTTTTAAATAATTATGACGTCGTTCGGTTCTTTCGACCGATCTGACCGGTTCGACCGGTTAAACCAGTGAATCGGTAGCACGACCGATTCGCTGACCGATCTTGTTTTGAAAACCATGTAAGGAACCACCTCAACCACTTGACCAAGATTATTTTCAGTATAATACTTACTTTAACTAATATTTATCTTATAATATAATGAAGGTTGGAACACTAAAATTAGAAGCAACACTAAAATGACTATAGTCAGGGCAAACAATATATGTTAAAATATATTATTTTCCGGGTGGTTAGAATATAATAAATATATTACTTTGACCATTTCAAATATAATAAAAATAGAAGCAACACTAAAACAACTTGAATCGAATAAATTAATATTTTTAAAATATATTTTTATATTCAACTTGCCCCACCCAGAAAATATATTGTTTATATTCAACCCGCCTGGACTTTATTCAAATAAATTAATATTTAAAATAGTTGAAATAATATTCGACCCGGATCGAGTTAAACTATTTTAAATAGTTGAAATAATATTCAACTGTCTAATTTATTCGATCTGGATCGAGTTAAAATATTTTAAATAGTTGAAATAATATTTGACCCGAACCCAATTTTTTTAAAAAAAATTCCGACCCAGCCATAACTGTTGGATTCAAATTAAATTACCATTAAGGGTGATTGAGATTTCATTATTGAATGATTAAAAAATTATAAAAAAATATATTTTCTTATAATCATTTTAGATTAATAAAAAATTAAAGAAAAATAAATGAGTTCATATAATAAAAATGTATGCCTTACTAAACACAAGTTTCTTTTCTAAAATTTGAAAATTATTTGCTCAAAAATCAATATCAAAGTTTTATAAAATCGAGTGAAGTGAAATAAATTAATTATTTAAAATATTACACCACTTTTCTCGGATTTTAGAGAGGCATTCTTTCAATAAAAGAAAAAGATTACATCTCGATAATTTTAACTATCTCATTGATTCTCTCATTAATTTTAACTAAGCCCAATAGTTGCCCTCAGAGAGGCCAAATTGTTACTTGTAGATCTGAATTCCCATTCAAAACTAGGGTAAAGTATATAAATAGTTCCTAAAATTGTAAGAATTTTACGTTTTAATCACTTAATTTTTGAAAAGTACAATACAATTATCAAACTTTTAGTTCGTTCATTTTCAATAAGATCATTGTCATTGTCTCCTATTAGTTTTTGCTTAACCCTCCCTTTTTCTTCTCATTCTTCTTCTTCTTCTAACACTGCTTTAAAGCACCATTTAAACTCATTTCTGAGTAACTTGCTTAAGCTTTCAGTATGTTTATCTGTTATCGTATTTAAAGTTTTCAGCTTGATGACCTATGCTAGGGTGAATTTGGGTTTTAGATCTAGTCTTTATGAAATTTGTGAAGAAATTAGTGTTTGACCTCGTGGCGATGATGAATTTGTGATCAAGGGAAGGCTCTTCTGGATTTGGTTTTTATTGGTTATTAGGTTAAAAGAAATTTTAGGGATTTTGATGAATTTTGTTTAGTTTTATGTTTTTGTGATATGGGGTTCTTCAATTTTAGGGTAAATTTAAGGTTTTTATCTTTGGACGTGTTGAATTTGTGAAGATTATAAGGAGGGTTTATCTGTTGTTAGAAAATAAGGGTTTCTTGGAGCATTTGTGATGGGTGAGGAAATATCTGATACAATGAACCTTGGTTTGAATATGGGTTCGGCTCCTGACATCGGGATCAGATCATTGTCGAATGAAGGTGTAAATTTGGATGGTTTAGTTGATAACCCGTTCGATAGGATCTGGGAAGTGGTTAGACGGAGGCGATAGAGATGACATCATGTCTTCATTCTTGCAGAGACTCAGAGCCTCTCGAGGAATTCGATCAATATAGGGGGAATTCTGGCAGTGTGAATAAGATGCAGGCAAGCGAGGGTAGTGTGGGTCGCCGAGGAAAGAATGAGTGATGTGCCGAAAGCATGTGAAGCCACCAATGGGTTATTAATTGATGGTGTTTTAGAAGATAGAAATGATATTGAGAAGCGTGTTAGCAACATGGGAGTTTTTTCGATTGCATGGAGGTTTGAATAATCAGTTGGTTTATCAGTCCATATCTCCATTGGTGTCTTCAGCTCTATTACAGTTGATGGAGCTCTATTCACTAAATAACATACGATATTGACTGCTTCTTCCCAAAATGATTTTTCTAGGTCTGCAACCCTCAACATTACTCTTGTTCTTTCTAATAAGGTTATGTTCATCTGCTCTGCCACTCTATTTTATTGAGGAGTGTTTTCCACTGTAAACTGTCTTTTGATGCCTTCTTTACTGCAAAGTCATCAAATTCTTCACTTGTGTATTCTCCTCCATTATCTATTCTGAAACACTTGATCTTATTTCCATAATCAAGTTCCACCAGCGCTTTGAAGTTTTTTTAAAGTTGAAAACACATCTGACTTCTTCTTAATAGGGTACACCCAACATCTCCTAGAGTAATCATCAATAAATTAGACAAAGTATTTTGCTCCGCCTATGGATGTAACTGTGCTTGTCATACGTTAAAATAAACCAATTCTATAACATTTTTGCCTCTATAATTTGACGTGTTGAATTTCAATCAGTGATGCTTACTTGTTATACAATGCTCACACAAAGTAGGCGATACCTTTGTTAAGTCTGGAAGTAGTTTTTGCTCCACAAGGACTTTCATTCCTTGTTCGGACATGTGTCCAAGTTTTTGATGCCATAGCATTGCAGAATCTGAACTACATGAGGAAACAGAGGCTTCTGCTTCTAGCAAAGTGTATTCTTTCAGCATGTATAAGTTTGCTGCTATCTTTTCGCCTTTCATCACTACAAGCGCTCCACGTAACACCTTAATGATTCATTTTCGTGTTTCAATCTTGCTTGCATTATTATCCAACAATCTATAGGATACTTTCACATGCCGCACATCTCGAACAACTTTAATTGTTCCATTATACATCTTCAATTTGATGGTTCCAACGCCAACGATCTCTAAGGCATGATTATTGCAACTATACACAGATCCTCTTGAGACATGTTCATAATGATGGAACCATTCTCTTCTTGAGGTCATGTGATATGTTGCTTTCAAATCAATGAGCCATATATCTGTAAAACTCTTTCTACCTTCCACGGTTGTTGACACTTCACAACGTAGAGCATGTCCATCATCTGAAGTGTTTGCGGTATTGCCTTGTTGATTGGAGTTTTTACCTAGACTCCAACAATCCTTCTTCAAGTGACCATTCTTTCCACAGTTGTAACACTTTAAATTCTTCTTGCTTCTCATATTTGATATACCATGTTTGTGACTGTTGTTTTGGTTACGTTCTGTTGATCTCTCTCTCATCGTTGTCAACGTTTCTGCTTGTTGCAAATTTACTTTTCTGTCTTCCTTGTTCTTGCATCGATTTTTTTTCTTGTAGAACAACAACTGCAAAATCATCGAAGACTAAACTGGTGACATTACTGTTTGTCAAGTTGATGATGAGTTGATCATAAGAGTCAGGTAAACTTTGAAGTAGAAGTTT